ACTACCCAGCAGTTATATCCCCAGATATTTACCCAAGAGAAATTAAAACATATGTCCACAAAAAATACTTATGTTAAGAATGTTCATTACTGCTTTATTCATAATAGCCAAAAACTAGACACCACTCATGTGTTCATGAACAGGAGAATGGATAAACAAAATGCAGTACATTCATTCAATGGAATATTGCTCAGCAGTGAAAAAGAATGAACAATGTGGACCTATCTCAAAAACATGTTGAGTGAGAGAAGTCTTACACAAAAGACTACATACTATATAGTCTCATTTATATGAAGGTCTAGAACAAGCTAAACAAATCCATAGTAAGAAAAAAAAATCAATGTTGGCTAACTCTGGCAAGGGGTGAGAGGCTGACTGAGAAGGGATATGTGATAATATTCTATATCAGGTAGGCAGACTATAGGCTTCAGGTCAAATTTAGCCTGCCACCTGATTTTGGAAATAAAATTTTATTGGAACACCATGCCACTCATTTACATACGGTGTATGGCTGTTTTTACACTTACAATGGCAGAGTTGAATGCCAATGAGACTATATGACCCACAAAGCCTAAAATACTATCTAACCTTTTATAGAAAAAGTCTGCCAACAATTTTCTGTATCTTGATAATGGTTTGGGTTACACAGGTCAAAACTTAAATAAGTTGGACACTTATGATGTGTGCATTTAACTGTACATAAATTTAAACTAAAAAACATAAATAATGAATTCTAGTCAATGATATGAATGCTGAAGTATTTATGGATAAAATATACTGATGTCTGCAACTTGCTTTAACTTTGAAATGTACCCAGAATATGAAATAAATTGATAAATGAACAAAGAAATGAATAGATGGATAGCTATATGATAGAGCAAATACAGCAAAAGTTAACTGTAGAAGCTAGGTGATAAGTATATGGGAGTTTATTTTACAATTTTTTTCAACTTTTCTGTATCTTTGAAATTTTTCTTAATAAAATACTGGGAATTTGTTTTTTAATTAGGAAAGGAAAATATACAAAACATGCAACCTGGCCACAGAAATAAACATTCCAATGCAAAATGCTTTGTGAAAAACTTTATTCTATAGAAATAAATCCCGGAATAATACACCTTGCCTGAAGAAACTTCAGCTACAAAGATCTTTATTAACCCTTGATCAGTCCTGTTAGGAGAGTATGCACACATTGGAATTCATTATAGTTTATGCCCTTGATGAAGAGGGAATTTTCTTAAAAACACAGTATTTGGGGTTACAGCTATTCAGAATAGTAATATATCATCACTAGAAAATTAACTGTTTCAGCACAGCATAGTACAGCACAGTACAGCTTTTATTTAAGGACCTCAAAGCATTTTATCCAAACTCAATAAATTCAGAGTCTCTTAGAGATAACTAAAGCAGAGCAGAATAGCAAAACAAGATGCAATTTGATTCTCACTTCCTTACTTTAATTCCATCAATTCCCTGACTCAGCTAGTGGTTAAGAGCTTGGCTGCTAACCATAAGGTCGGCAGTTTGAATTCACCTTGGAAACCCTTGGAGCAGTTCTACCTGGTCATTATGTGTCAGAATCACCTCCACGACAACAGGTTTGTTTTTTTTTTTTTTTTGAGTTAACTAAATTTTACTGAAGTCATCATGCCATTTTTATCCAATTCTGACAGCGAGGACAACTATCTTACAAAGAGACTGTATAGGTGTAATAATAATTATGTGCACAGCCTCTGGAGCCAGGTAGTCTGAGTTCGAATCCTGGCTTTCCTGTATGACACTAGGAAGGTCACTTAACCTCTCTGTACCTCAGTTTCCTCACCTATAAAATGCGGATACTGATAGCTGTTATGCACAGGGTTGTTGAGAGAATAGTACACATAAAGTCCTTAGAATAACGCTTAGCACATAGGAATCACTCAATAGCATATTGCTATCTCACAACAGCAAATGCTTTATTATTAATGTAGAACAGTAAGATAACCACAGGCTCCTAACATTTTAGGACTAAAAAATCTTGGAAAGCTACACTGGTGTCTCTGCTGTTCTTCAAACATGCCAGACACACTCCTTCTCAAGGACATTTGCACCAGCTATTCCCTCTACCTGGAATGTGCGTTGGTGACTCCCTCACTTTCTTCAAGTGTTTGCTCAAATGTTACCTTCTCAATGAGGCCTACTCTGGTAACCATCTTATTTAAAATTACAGTCTACTTTCTTCCTTACCCTGCTCTACATTTTTCCCAGAGCACCCTGTACTATATTATATAATTTACTTTTTGTTATATTTATTGACAATCTTCCCATTAGACAACAAAACTCAATGAGAGAAGGGATTTTGTTTTTTAGTGACTAATATATTCCAAGTAGGTGCTCAAATATTTTTTTGTTGTCATCTGATCTAATCCCTTTATTTTACAGATGAGGAAACTCAGAACAGACTTGAGTCAATCTTACCTAGGGAGTAAGGAAAAGAGCCAGGAACAGGGATTTCCAGTGCTATTTCTTCTATAGCTTACTATCTCTCTGACCCTTAAATTGTATTTCCTCTTGAATGTATCAGAAAAATCACAGTCATCACAATTTCCCCCAAGAGGATTTACCTTTGGAACTTTGTGGTCTTGCAAATGCTGCTGTGACTGTAATACAGAAATGCTCTGAAAGGCAGTGGAAGCCAGTACTGGAATACTAAGTGTTGGTAGACGAACAGAAGAAGATGGTTGATTTGGAAGGTCTATGCCAGAGCTTTGATAGGGGGTCTGCTGTTGTAATTGTGGTTCTGACAACCCAGAAACAGGTGCTAAACTAGAAGATGGCTGCCACTGTGGCTGGACAGTAGACTGCTGAATGTATGCTGGCTGGTGCTGTGCTAGGTTTCTCTGAAGAGTAAAAGTTTGACTGTTGTCTAATGCCTGAAGCACTTGAGGCTGCTCTAAAGGCTGTATTGTATATTGTTGCACTGATGTTGGTTGCAACTGTTCTTGCAAAGGAGATATAATCTGGACCATGTTTGTAATGGTCTTTGGAACACCTCGTAATGACTGAACCTGGTTAGGTGCCTGTGAATGAGGCACCTGCTGCTGGTGAACAGCACACTGACTACACAACTACTGCTGTTGATTTATGGGACCTTCTTGAGTAGAGAACTGGTGAGTTTGCTGTGCTTGTGTATAGGATGAATGAGTCATCTGTTGATATTGAATGAAAGATGACTGAGAAACCTGACTTGGTGTTATATGTGATTGGGAAAGCTGTGCTGAGAAGTGTGGGGGCTGGATATGGGACTGTGAAGAGGACTGCTGACGGAAAGACATCTTCCTAGGGTGTAGAAGCTGTCCTTCTACTGCTCTCTGATATATACTGCTAGCTGGTTGGGTCAGAGCTTTTAGGTGTTGCTGTCCAAAACTGACATCTCCTTGGGATGGAGCTGCTGAATGCTGGACATTAAATAAAGGTTCAGTTGATGTTAAATATGTCTTTTGTTCTAATGCTGAAGAGCTAGTACCTTGGGATTGTGTTAAATAGGCTTGCTGCTCAGAAGTCTGTGCTACATGAGGTGATACTGAATAGAACTTCTGATCTGCAGAGTTTTTGATGTGAACCTGCTTGCTCTCAGGTGGGTTTACTATGTATACTTGCTGGGTTATGAAGGTTGTCTGTCCAGTTGTCTGGATGGTGTAGGCAGTTTGTCCTGAATAAGGGTTATGCTCAAAAGACAGTAACTGGTAAACAGACTGCTCCATGGGTTGCACAGGGTAAGATGCTTGGATCGCATATGTTGTCTGATCTGGAAAAGGTGACTGAACTGGAGGTTGTACTAGATAAGCCAGCTGCCCTTGAGACGGTCTATCTGGAGGGATATCTGGTGATTGTCACTTTCTTCTTTAAATTTTATAGACTTTTTAAAAAATACGCCAGTAACACTTTCATAAAATATTTTTTAAACCTCATTTAAAATTTTGGAAACGTATATTAACATACACATACCTGTATGCTTATGTGGTTGAATCTAAGTTAAATTTTAGCATCCATTCAACATACTTTGCATTATAGTCTTTAGAGACAAATCAAACAACACGAGCTCAATTACAGATATATGCCATATCACCTATAAACACTAGCCTAATACCAGGTACCTTTAACTATATCAGATTAAATCTACCCCAGCAAATTTAAAATGAAGCTGGCATTTGTCAAGTATGTGTATGCTTTCCCCTACAAGACTGTGACCTCTTTGAGAGCAAGAACCATATTTTATTTTATTTTATATCCCCTGAAGGTAGAACTCAAGATACAGATGCACCAGTTGCTAGCTAAACCATATACAGAGAAGGCCTAGGAGCTCAGACCATCTCATTCCCAGAGAGAGAAGGCACACGCAGGGGATGGTGTGGAGGTAAAGGAGAGAGTATAGGGGGTGATGGTAAAGAAAAGCCCAACCATGTGTCCAGCCGTGATAGACTTATGATATATGAACTCACAGAAAGACTACTCATTGTGAGAAATGAACACTGACTTAAAGAATCGGAAAGACAAAAAAGCTTCTTGTTTCTCCTACAGAAATAGGCATGAACCAAAAAAGACAAGAATTTAGGTGAAACTGCTAAAAATTATTATATTCTATGAAATACTACTTTAATTAGCTGCAACAGACATTAATCTACATTCAAACCAGGATGGAAAAGTTCAACACAAAAAACAAACCATCATTAACAAGAGAAAGAGATCAGAATCCTAAAGAGTCTTTTCTGTCCATATACTGAGTTCTCCAGTTCCTCTCCAATTATACAAGCCATGTCTCAAGATTCTAGTTACACAATGTGTCTAGGCACATCCTTAAGAGGGTATCTTGGATGAAGGAAAGCATAAACAACTTATAGCTTTCAGTGACCTTTACCTAAACTATGATTGATATAAGAAAAAGAGCCTTTGCCTGTCAGAAAACCTAGACTGTGTTAAATTTGTTTAAATGAATACAAAACTTCTAAAATATGTCTTACCTTTATCTGTGAGAACTTCTGGACACTTACTGGGGAAACCTGGGGTTGTGAAACAACTGGAGGCCCAAGGACATGTACAGGCAAAACAGAAGACTGACCTTGAGCCAAAGGCAAAATTTGGGGCTGAGTCAGCTTTGGCTGCTTCTGCAACTGTTAAATAAGGACATAAAAAGACTACATATAACCTTTTCCATTCACAGTTTATGCACTGATTATATATTTTAAAAAATAATAGTCCATCTCACCCCTGAAATTTGCTGGTAATGTCCTCCTAGCTGTGGAGGTGGATAAATCTTCCCTGGAACATTTATTTCGGCCTGTAGAATGTTAGAAATCATTTGAGAGCCCATTATCTGGTCTGAGGAATAAGCTATACTGGGCTGACTTGAAGTATCTGAATGCATAACTGATCCAGCTCCTGCCTCGGACAAATTGTCACCTATGATAAAGAAAATAAGCAATAGGTAGAAGGAAAATCTTGAAACACAATGTCCAAATGGCATCCACACACAAACACACACCCACAGCTGTCGAGTCAACTCCGACTCATAGTGACCCTACAGGACAGAGTAGAACTGCCCCCGTAGGGTTTCCAAGGCTGTAAATCTTTACAGAAGCAGACTGCCACATCTTTCTCCCGTGGAGCAGCTGGTGGGTTCGAACTGCCGACTTTTTAGTTAGCAGCTGAGCACTTTAACCACTGTGCTACCAGGAATTCTATCCAAATGGCATAGGTAATAGTCAGTGGTTTTTTAATTGTTTCTTTATTCTGACAACCCGAGACAGCTTTAAATGAAATATGTACAGAATTAATCAAAAATCATCATGTACAATCTTCATCAAACAATGAAATGCTGACATTGTGGTAAAACTGAAATGTTCTAAGTAAAACAAACCTAAACACAAAGAATCACATAAACATCAACTACATTTGCTGGCCATTTCAATATATATCCACAACTAACTTACACTTGCCAGTTAGATTTCAGTAAAATATGTTTAATATTCTCTTTCTCCTAGAACCTGGCTAGAAAATACTATTGTTTTTATAGAACAATTGGTTACCACTATGAAAATACTGTGTTCCTCTGGAGAAGAGAATGCATTACAACAGAGAAACTGGAGGAACTGTGTTAGCTTTTTACTTAAGTCTAAAATACAAAGGGTTTTAAAAGTGTAGAAAACACTTTCATAAGGGATAAACTGTATCTTTAGTTCAAAATTTTCTTTCTTAAAGGGCGTAGAAGGTCATTTTACTTGTTCCCTGAACAAAACTACATGTTAGATTCTAACGCTTAACTCAACTAGCACCTTGGAAAAGTCATTTAGGACAGTTTAATTTTAAAATAAGGAAGCCATTTGGCCTATTTCAGGGATTATTTTTAAAGGATTGATAAAATTATAGATAACAGAATACTTTGAAAAATATAAAAGCACTACTTAAAGACAAGAGAATAAAATTACACATTTGTTTGTTGTTATAGATTATAACTATGTTACCTGTAACAGAGGAGCAGTGATGCTGTGGCTTTCTTTGTAGAAGCTGTTGTCGAACATGTTGATCAACTTCAGTTTCTTCACATTCAGACCCAGTCTGCTGAGCAGAAGCAGGGGGTAAAATTATATTCTGGTGCTGAGGGAGCACATTCCCCACAGACTTGCACTGGGAATCCCTGCGTTCTTCCAAACAGCCAGCTGGCTTCTTCTCCCTTGTCTTCTTTATGAGGGTCACACGGTCTCTAATGGACTTGGCAACAGCTTTGGAATCACTTTCATGGAAGAAACCAGACTTGACCTACAAACAGAACACAGTAAACCAAGTACTTTAACATTTAAGATTTTAACGTTTCTTTTTACTAGCAGAGTTATTTTATACTCTGAAATTCCAAGCGCTATAACAGTTAATTTGTTTCCATATTCTTTCTTAATTAAAGACATAAATAAATGCCAGAGTCTTCAATCAGCATAAGAAAAACAATACTATTACCACGCACTGTTGAAATAATACTGATGTAAACAAAAACCTTGATATTTCAGTATATGCAGCCTAATACAGGTAATTTTTTGCTAATATTAAGTATTGTGACAGATTTAAAGTTTCTGTACTCAGCAACATTAAGTGCCTACAATGTTCCCAGTAATGGACACCAGAGACATATAGGTAAATAAGTTGGTCCTTTCTCTCATAAGGAGTCCTGGTGGCACAGTTAGCTCGACTGCTAACTGAAAGGTCAGCAGTTTGAAACCACCAGTGGCTCAGTGGGAGAAAGATGTAGCAGTCTGCTTCCGTAAAGATTTACAGCCTTGGAAACCCTATGGAGCAGTTCTACTCTGACCTATGGGTCACTATGAGTTGGAATCTACTCGACGGCAGTGGGTTTGGTTTTTGGCTTTCTTCTCTCACATAAACTCACAATCTGACAGTGTGAGACACAAAACTTAACTTACAATGAATTAAGAGGTAAGAATGAGTTGCTGCAAAAGCTCTAAACAAAATGCACATGTCTCTCTAGTGGAAGTAGAGGAGGTGTCACAGAGGAGGGTAATTTCTGACCTGGATCTTAAAGCAAAAAAGGAACTTGCAGGCTACTGAGGGAAGTGTAGATGTAGTTTGGAATGGGGGCCAACATTCTAAGCTGAGGGAAGTATGTTCACAGCAAAGTACTACATCTGACTAGGTATTAGAGAGTAGAGTGTTCTGCCTTGTTTCAGAGGAACAGAGCTGAGTAACAGAGAAGACAACTTGAGGTACCATGGGATATTACCCTCAGTCCTACAATCTGCTTTTTAAAGCATGTCTTGGAGGTCTACTGACACTGGGAAATTTCATGGTAGTTGAAAGATGATTAAAATGTTAGATGGAGTACATATGTATAAGTACTTTCACTCCCTCCCAAAACTACAAAATAAAAACTATAGTAAATGGATTTTTAAAGTTACAAACCCACAAGGGCAGGGAGAATAGGAGAAATACAATAGCAACATTTTGGAATACAGAAAACAAATGGATAAGTAATAACTAACTTAACAGCCCCCCTAGGCTGGAAATGGGACCTGTCCTATCCGAGCCAGTCTCCTGGCTTTGGGGAGGGAACAAACAAACAAACAAACAAAAAAAGAAACCTCCAGCTCTCCTAAGCTGGGTGCTCAAGACTAACCATGCCCAAACCAGTCCCACAGCTTAAAAAAATCATCATGCCCCACTAAGCTAGGAACTCAGGGCAGGCACTGCCCCTTTGCCTAGGCATAGGCATAAGGGGTCCAGGGGTTTCAAATGCCTTTCATCCCTGCCTAGACCTGTGTGGGCCCATTCAACAGCACAGGCCCTCACTAGCATAGTACAACAGGGTATATACCTGAAGCCTATTTTCAGCTGCAACTGATAAGGGGGACAGGCAGATTTCTGACATTTGACAGCACCCTGCCCATTAAGCAGAGTCCTCACCTACCCACATCAGGGGCCTAAGGACTGGTGGCTCCACACACGCTACCTAGCCACCCACAACAGGGGTCCGAGAATAAGTGGTGCCCCCTAGTCCTTACAGCCAACAGCATTGGGTGCCCAAAGTCCGGCTGCAAAATCCACCCACCTACACACTCTAGAGGACAGTGACGTGCCTTCCACATAGGCACTCAGGGACAGCCATCAGCCCCCTACCTTGCTCAGCACATAACCCCCTACTGCAGCCAAATACCTGTACCTGCTCCAATCACCCCTACACAGCCCTGCCCGTCTAGGACTCTAGGTGAGAGCCTGCACCACACAATCAGTGACCAATAACCTAGATACCTGAGCTGAATTCACACAAGAAAAGTAAATAGAATCTTGGGCTCACACACCTACCAGCAGGTCTAACGACCTAGTGACAGGACATTAGAGCTTCAAAGACACAGATAACCAAAGTAGCTCTCACGCCCACCCTATTTGGGCTTATCAAAACAAAACAAAAAGCTAGGACACAGTAAGCAAACATACAATAAATAAATGCAATAACTTATAGATGGCTCGGAGACAATAGTCAATATCAAATCAAATAAAGAGGCAGACCATGATGGCTCCAGCAACAGACCAAAACAAAGAACCAGGAAACCTCTCGGAGGAAGAGATGGTTTTGGAATTACTAGCAGTAGAATTCAAAAGATTAATATACAGAGCTCTTCAAGAGATCAGGAAGGAGATCATGTAAAACTCAGACCAAGACAGGAACACAAAGACAAAGCAATAGAGGAATTTAGGAAAGCTATACAATATCAGAATGACCAATTGAAGAGTTTGCTAGAATCCATAGGGAGACAGCAAATAGAAATCCAAAAGAGATTAACAATAAAATTTCAGAATTAACTCAACAGAAAGTAACAGAGCAGAATTGAGGCAATGGAAGTCAGAATTAGTGAGACTGAAGATAAAGCACTTGACATCAATTTATTTGAGGAAAAATCAGATAAAAGAATTAAAAAAATGAAGAATCCCTAAGAATTACATGGGACCCTATCAAGAGTGATTGGAGGAGCAGAACAGAGGTGGATAACAGAAAATACAGAGAGAACTGTTGAAAATTTGCTGGCAGAAAACTTCCCCGATACCGTGAAAGATGAGAAGATATCTATCCAAGAAACTCCTTGAACTCCACACAGGCTAGATCCCAAAAGAAAGCCACCAAGACATACTATAATCAAACTTGTCAAAACCAAAGATAAAGAGAGAATTTTAAGAGTGGCTAGGGATAAACAAAAAGTCACCTACAAAGGAGAGTCAATAAGACTAAGCTCTGTCTACTCAGCAGAAACCATGCAGGCAAGAAGGTAATGGGATGACATATATAAAGTCTTGAAAGAAAAAATTGCCAGCCAAGAATTATATATCCAGCAAAACTGTCTCTCAAATATGAAAGTGAAATTAAGGCATTTCCAGATAAACAGAAGTTAAGGGAATTTGTCACAACCAAACCAAAATTAAAATAAATACTAAAGGGAGTCCTTCAGCTAGAGAACCAATAACATCAGATAACAACCCAAGACTAGAACACAGGACAGAACAACCAGATATCAACTCAGATAGGGAAGTCATAAAAATAAGTCAAAATTAAAACACTGAAAATAAGGAAACAGAGATGCGAAAATATAAAAGATGAAAACATTGAAACAAAAAAGAGGGACTAAATAGTGTAGTCACAGATCTTTCATATGCAAAGGAAGTTAAGGTGATATAAAGAAATAAAAGATTGGATTAAACTTATAAAAATAGAGGTAAATTTTAAGGTAACCACACAGGAAATTAATAAACCAACGCATCGAAATAATAAAAAAGAAAAACATAAAGACTCAGTAAATACAAAATCAACAACAATGAAAAAGATGAAAAGAAAAATCACTCAGCACAGAAAATTAAGTGGAACAAAGAAACTGTCAACACCACACACAAAAAAATACAACACAATGACAGCACTAAACTCATACCTGTCAATAATTACACTGAATGAAAATGGACTAAATGCACCAATAAAGAGAGAGTGGTAGAATGGATAAAAAGACACAATCTGTCTCCATGTGGAAGAACATACTGTGCTCATGGACAGGAAGACTCAACATTGTGAAAATGTCAATTCTACCCAAAGTGATCTACAGACACAATGCAATCCCTATCCAAATTCCAACAACATTTTTTAACAAGATGGAGAAATAAATCACCAGCTTCATATGGAAAGGGAAGAGGCCTTGGATAAGTAAAGCATTACTGAAGAAGAACAATATGAGAGGCCTCCCACTACCTGATTTTAGAATCGATTATATCACCACGGTAGTCAAAACAGCCTGGTACTGGTACAACAACAGATATATAGACCAATGGAAAAGAATTGAGAATCCAGATGCAAATTCATCCACCTACGAGCAGCTGAAATTTGACAAAGGCCCAAAGTCCGTTAAATGGGGAAAAGACAGTCTCTTTAACAAATGGTGTGGCATAACTGGATATCCATCTGTCAAAAATGAAACAAGACCCATACCTCACATCATGTACAAAAACTAACACAAAATGGATCAAAGACCTAAATATAAAATCTAAAACAATAAAGATCATGGAAGAAAAAATAGGGACAACACTAGGAGCCTTAATACATGGCATAAACAGAATACAAACCATAACTAACAATGCACGAACACCCGAAGAGAAACTAGATAACTGGGAGCTCCTAAAAATCAAACACTTATGCTCATCAAAAGACTTTGCCAAAAGAGTTCGAGAACCAACAGACTGGGAAAAAAATTTTGGCTACAACACATCTCTAAAATCTATAAGATACTGCAACACCTCAACAACAAAAAGACAAATAACCCAATTAAAAAATGGGCAACGGATATGAACAGACACTTCACCAAAGAAGACATTCAGGCAGCTAACAGATACATGAGGAAATGCTCATGATCATTAGCCATTACAGAAACACAAATCAAAACTACAATGAGAGACAGGGATCACAATAGAGGGTCCCAGACAGAGCTGGAGAAAAATGCAGAACAAAATTCTAACTCAAATAAAAGAACAGACTTACTGGTCTGCCAGAGACTGGACAAATCCTGAGAGTATGGCCCCCAGACACCCTTTTAGCCCAGTAATGAAGTCACTTCAGAGGTTTACCTTTTAGCCAAAGACTAGACAGACCCATAGGACAAAACGAGCCTAAAGGGGCACACCAGCCCAGGGGCAAGGACTAGAAGGCAGGCGGGGACAGGAAAGCTGGTAATAGGGAACCCAAGGTCGAGAAAGGAGAGTACTGACGTGTCATGGAGTTGTTAACCAATGTCATAAAACAATATGTGTACTAATTGTTTAATGAAAAGCTAGTTTGTTCTGTAAACTTTCATCTAAAGTTCAATTAAAAAAAAACTACAATGAGATACCATCGCACCCCAACAAGGCTGGCATTAATCCAAAAACCACAAAACAATAAATGCTGGAGAGGTTGTGCAGAGAGTGGAACACTTATGCACTGCTGGTGGGAATGTAAAATGGTACAACCACTTTGGAAAACGATTTACCACTTCCTTAAAAAGCTAGAAATAAAAGTACCATACAATCCAGCAATCCCACTTCTTGGAATATATCCTACAGAAATAACAGCCGTCACACGAATAGACATATGCATACCCATGTTCATTGCAGCACTGTTCACAATAAAAAAAAAACATGGAAACAACCTAGGTGTCCATCAACAGACAAATAGATAAATTATGGTACATACACACTATGGAATAATATGCAACGATGGAGAACAATGATGAATCCGCAAAACATCTTCACAACATGCACGAATCTGGAGGGCATTATGCTGAGTGAAATTAGCTAGTCACAAAAGGACAAATATTGTATGAAACCACTATTATAAGAACTCAGGAAAAAGTTTAAATACAGAAGAAAACATTGTTTGATGGTTATGAGGGTGAGGAGGGAGGGAGAAGGGTATTCACTAACTAGATAGTAGCCAAGAATTATCTTAGGTGAAGGGAAGGACAATACACAATACAGGGGAAGTCAGCACACTGGACTAAACCAAAAGCTAAGAAGTTGCCTGAACATAACCAAACACTTTGAGGGACAGAGTAGCTGGTGTTGGGGTCTAGGGACCATGGTTTCAGAGGATGTCTGGGTCAGTTGGCATAACAAAGTTTATTAAGAAAATGTTCTGCATCCGACTTTGTTGAGTGGCATCTGGGGTTGTAAAAGCTTGTGAGTGACCATCCAAGATTCATCAGTCCCAACCCACTTGGAGCAAAGGAGAATGAAGAACACCAAAGACACAAGCAAAATACTAGCCCAAGAGACAAAACGGCCACATAAACCAGAGACTCCATCATCCTGAGACCAGAAGAACTAAATGGTACCTGGCTACCACCAGTGACCGACCAGACAGGGAATACAACAGTAAGTCCCTGACAGAGTGGGAGAAAATTGTGGAGTAAAACTCACATTCATGTAAAAAGACCAGACTTAATGGTCTCACTGAGACTGGAGGAACCCCCTAAGCCATACCCCCGAGATGCTCTGTTAACCCAGAACTAAAACAACTCCTGAAGCCCACTCTTCAGACAAAGATTAGACTGGACTATAAAACATAAAATAATAGTTATGAAGAGAATATGTCATGGATTGAATTATGTCCCCCAAAAAAATGTGTGTATCAGTCTGGCTGGGCCATGATTCCTGGTACTGTGTGATTTTCCTGTATGTTGTAAATCCTGCCTCTATGATGTTAATGAGGGAGAATGGGCAGCAGTTGTGTTAGTAAGGCAGGACTCAATCTACAAGACTGGATTGTGTCCTGAGGCAATCTCTTGAGATATAAAAGAGAGAAGTGAGCAGAGAGACAGGGGGACCTCATACCACCAAGAAATCAGTGCCAGGAGCAGAGCGCGTCCTTCGGACCCGGGGGTCCCTGCGCGGAGAAGCTCCTAGTCTGGAGGAACAATGATGAGAAGGCCAACAGGAGATAAAGCCTTTCCCTGGAGCTGATGCCCTGAATTTGGACTTTCAGCCTACTTTACTGTGAGGAAATAAACTTCTCTTTGTTAAAGCCATCCACTTGTGGTATTTCTGTTATAGCAGCACTAGATGACTAAGATAACGTGCTTCTTAGTTTAAGCAGATACACGAGACCAAATGGGCGGCTCTTGTCTGGAGACAGGATGAGAAGGCAGGACAGACAGGAGCTGGCTGAATGGACATGGGAAACCCAGGGTGGAAAGGGGCAGTGTGCTGTCACATTACAGGGATTGCAACTAATGTCACATAACAATATGTGTATAAATTTTTACTGAGAAATTAATTCGAGCTGTAAACTTTCACCTAAAGCACAATAAAGAAGGAAAAAAAAGAAGATTAAGTGAGCATATACACACTGAATGTCAAATGAAGAAATCCTCAGGCCTCTAACTTTATTTGGCTCACAGAATACTGGTAACCAGATCTTTACCCTCCAGAGAGAAGACTGAAAGATGCTTTTCTGGGGACTCTGGCCAACCCAAGAAGAAAGATCTAAAGATACTGATATCAGAGATTCCCCAATTAATGGCCCACCAAGATACCCTAAAGCAGAGGTCGAAGTTCACAACTCCTGTGCAAGCAATCATACCATTCAATCAGCTTGTTAGTCCCTGTGACAGGAAGAATTATGGCCCCTCAAAAGATGTCCCACCCTGGACCTGTGCATATGGTGACATATCACTGCCATTATTGTGTATGCTATATGGCACAGTTGACCTTAAGACAGGGAGATTATTCAGGTGAGCCTGATCTAATCACAAGAGCCCTTAAAACCAGAGAACTTTTATCAGCTGGTGGCAAAAAAGGAAGTCAGAGATCCATGGCACTAGAGAGATTCAAAATGCCATTGTTGGCTTTGAAGATGGGGTAGAGGCATGTGCAAAGACTGAAGAGCAGCCTCTAGTAGCTGAGAGTAACCCACAGACAACAAGGAAACAGGGATCTCAGTCTTACAACCACATGGAACTGAATTCTGCCAACAGCCTGAATGAGCCTGGAAGCAAATTCTTCTCCAGAGCCTCTAGATAAAAGCCCAAGCCAGGCGGCACCTTGATTTCAGCCTTTTAGTAATGTTCTATATTTCTTAACATATTATTCTTTATACCATATGTACAAATTTAATATACTCATCATTTCAAAATAACAATTTAAATAAAGAAAAGGAGAAAATGAGAGGAAAGAAAGCAATGAGAAGTGGAATCAAGCCTGATACTAGAAAGGGAGGGAAGGGAAACGTGATAGTAGTAGGATTCACTTACCATTTCATATGCTACTTCCTCAGGTGTATCTGTTTCTAAATTGTAACTGAATTCAATAGCTTCATTGTCTTTGTGCTTGCCTTTCAATTTTTTAGGGTCTTCAACCCAGAGTCTTAAAGCCAAGGATGAATTTAAACCATCATCTTCCTCTGCTAATTCCACTCTCAGTCCTGTATCCTCAGCAAAAAATGCGTGGTTTAGTAGATCTCTGATAGACAACCTAATAAACAAAATATGTATCTCGTGACCAATTTTTCTCGTCATAAGCAAGGTATAAAATTGTCACTATTTAATTAGTAAAAATTAATTGTATCAAAGTAACAGTCAATCTTATTTTAAAATTTCTATTAATTGAAGTATCAATCTGTCTTGTTATGAAACCAAATCTTATATTTGATTACCAGAAACGCAAAGAAATCCCAACTAGCATATACACAGTGATCTTAATTAAAGATTAATTCTTACCAGTAACATATCTATATACCAAAGTTTAACATACATAAAAGTATGCCTAGAGAGAATTAGAGAAGTATTATAGTACATGCTAGGTGGATTGCTATTGTCTTTCTCCTATCCTTGTGGATTTATAACTTAAAAAATCCATTTACTATAGTTTTTATTTTGGAGTTTGGGGAGGGGGTGAAATTACTACACATATGTATACAATCTAACATTTTAATTATCTTTCAACTACCATGAAATTTCCCAGTGTCAGCAGACCCCCAAAACGTGCTTTAAAAAGCAGGTTGCAGGACTGAGAATGATATACCACGGTACCTCCTCAAGTTGTCTTCTCTGTTAACTTCCCTAATTCACCAGCTTAAGTTACTCAAACTCAAACACTAGATTCTCGGTAAAGGAAACTAAAAAGGCTCCCAGATATATACACTCTAAAGTCAATAAAAATTACACTCTTTAATGAATGTTATAAATAGAAGTCACTGACTCCATTAACGATAATCTAGTCAGTGTACTTCACTCTTCAGAAAACGCCACTGGTGAAGCTAATGTGATTTCAGCAAAGTTCAGTGGTTTTCTGAAAACATTTAAATCTGTTTTTAGGCCAAAAGTAGATATACAGTGGACACAACCCTAACCTAATATTAGGGGTTAACCATCTCTGAAGAGAAACAAAGAACATGGGTTCAAACAATTTTTTTGCAAGGCGGGGCAGTTAATTTCCATTTCTTTGACCAACTTTTAAAACAGATATATAATATCTAATCTATCAGTAATACAGGTCAGGGAAAGCTAAAACTGACATATTCCATAATGTCTAGACAGAATGCCCCTCCAGTACTATTCAAAATAGATAAAGCATATTGACAGCATGGTATCCCACGTTGAGGATCTTCCGCCCTCTACATTTTTAATGATCAAGAGAAAAATAGCTAAGACGGTATTATAAGAAGAATAAGCTTGCTCAGTCTAGTTTCAAGGCTAAGGTTAGATGTGTTTAAGATGGAACAAATAAGTTAAGCACTGTGCCACTCAGTAGAAATTTTGCCTAAGTATTTTTACTGTGGAATAATGATAACAGTAGCAGTAGAAGCTACCATTTATTGAATATTTACTATATACAGGTAGCCTAAGTTTGAGTCTAGATTTGAATGTTGATCTGATTTTGAAGCCTGTGCTCTTCTCAGTACACTAATATGCCATGAATCCTTTTGAATATTCCAGTGTTCTTTGATACAGATAATTAAAATACTACACAAATAACAATCAGAATCCAAACTGGTTACTTCAATACAGTACTTTTAGCCTCACTTAAAAAACATACCTAGATGCAGCCTGTCAGCATAAACACTAAGAATGTTACATAATAAAGCTATAACTAAATAGGCCTTACCTTAGCGGCTTTATATAGTCTCAGATATGCAACACTACACCTAGATAGAAAACTAATAAGAATGGGGGACAGTCAATGAAATGTGGGTGGAAATAATTTCTATAAAGGACATGTATAAATCAAAACACTAACCTACCAATGTCTGTCAGCAACTGTCCAAAGTTCAAATTAAATCTAAGACTAAAGGGAGTTGACTATAAGAAAACAGAAACTGTGATACAAATAAATCCAGAATAATCTTTCTAAAACAAAAGTGTCCTTACCAGCTTTACCGTTATCATGACGCAAGGACATATGATTAAACAAAAATATCTGGTGGTATGATGGTTAAAATTTAAAAAAAGAAAACTATCATTAAAAAAACATTTAAGAACATATCTGAAAGTGGCATATTATGCAGAAGCTCTTTACTATAAACTATTACAAGCCAGTTAACTTGTGAGGGCCCACTGACTGTTAAGCTGATATCTGAAGGTGAGGAAAGTTTGTCACAACACACATACAAACACAACCCAAATGTTGGTTCAAAGAAAATTCAGCACATGTTGTCCAAGCCTAAACTGGCAAACAACATTGACAGATACACTTCATTCTATACAGTATGATTTGGCTCCCACTCAAAAGCTATACCCAGCATGATTCAAAGGTCAGAAAATGACCCATTGCGAGGTAAGAGAAAAATATATCCATTAGTTATGTCATTTTGCTACATTTGCACCCACCTTTCGGATTTGTTTTGACGAATACATCCTTCAATAATTTCTTTCACTTCAGGATCAGTGACTTTATTGAAACTTGCTGGTTTTATGCCCTGGGAGAAAAAAAATGGTTTCTAGCCACGAATTAAATAATTGATAGCCCAAGTCAACTTGATATTTATTAAACATTATTTTTACTATTAAATTATACTCAAGTTTTAAATGAGAGAAACACAATATAAATCTAATGACTTTTTTGACAAGGATTTTGTCATACCTCTGTAAATAACAGTGGAAAGCTGGAAACAACCTAAATCTCTAACAATAGAGGGAAATTTACATAAAATTATATTATTTACATATAGGATAATATTAGTCAGAAACTCAAAGTGTTTAATGACATGGAGAATTCTTCATAAAGTAACACTAAGAAGGGAAAAAAGTAGAATCCCAAGTTGTACTTAAGTATAACCCCCAATCAGCAAAACACAATAAACTAGTATTTTGGAAAATCAGAAAAAAAAATTAAGGTCATTAAAAACATTTTTGAAAATTCCAAATAAGGATTTCTTATCTCACACATTCCAAATCAATATATATATGTATGTGTGTGTTCTTGTATATACTTTCAAGGAATTTATTTTTTATCCTTAAGCAATACTAAAATATTGAACCTCAAGCTAATTTTCAGGTTCTAGGAATTCAAAAAAAATAAATGAAGTCCAGACAATTTTAAAAAGTACTGTGATAACTGTATTAGCTGCCAGAATCTGCTTATTTTACATTCTATTATCCTTTATTTATGAATTTTAGATTTAAAAAATCCAAGTAAGACCACTGCAGTCATTTAACAGAAAATTCCAAATTAAGCCAGAAACAGAGAGGCATAATAGAAAGAATAACTATCATAGAATGTGGCAATCTGAGCTCTAATTCTGGGTCTGTTATACTACCTCATAGGACCCAGAATCAGAAAACCTAATTTCATATACTAAATAAATCTGGTGAGATCAGGAGTTAATTTAGACCCTAAATTCAAGAAGATTTTAGATGGAAATCTGAATTGTGATATGGCATTTGTGTGATTTTAATAACAAGGTCATTCAATAAATGGAATTATGATATTCTATTTATTATAGAAAAAAACCATCTTTAACCTTTCCACTGATCTCTAACCATTCTCCAGCCCTGGGTAATTATTGCCTTTCTCTGCTTCTAGGTGAAAGTTACTGAGGAGCTGTAACTTACAAAATCGAGTACAAACTCCTTTTCTATTTGTAGCCCTCCAACCAATGGACTCAAACTAAAGAGATTCTAGCCTTATCTCTTTTATCAGCTCTTTGTTATGGAAAATTTCAAATATACTCAAAAGTATAGAGAAAAGTGTATAATGAACCCCTATTACCATCACCAGATTCAACAACAATCAACATTTTGTCAACCTTGTTTAAGCTATCTCGTCCCCAAACTTTTATTTCACTGAAATATTTTAAAGCAAATTCTATGCATCATATCATTTCACCCATAAATTCACCAGTTTGCATCTCTAACAGACAAGGATCTTTTTTTAAAAAAATCATGTAATTATTTCACCCAAAATGATTACCAATAATTCCTTAATATCATCTAAAACTCAGTCAACATTCAAACTTTCCAAATTGTCTCAATGATGTCTTTTCAGTTAGTTTACTCAAACTGGGATGCAAATAAGGTGCATACATTATATACATTTCTTACGTCTCTTGCAAAGGTGCCCTGGAGCTGGCTCATACCGTCTCACAAGAGCCAGCTATTAAATTTTCAGGAATTTTGCAAGGCAATTATTAAATAGTCATTGTTAAAAATTATTCAGGTAAATAATACTAATAGCTACCATTTTTGAATGCATGCTGTATGCCATACGTTTTAACCTTTATATCCCTACAAGATAGGCATTATCTCTAGTTTATGAATGATAAGACTGAGAATCAGAGGTTGTGATTTGCCCAAGTTCACACAGCTACTTATATTGGTGGGTTTTGACCCCAAGTCTGTCTGACTCCAAAGGTTTATGTAGGGAAACAATAAGAAATAAGACTAAAATCCAGAACGTGAGACATTCTATAGGACAAAATGACCTAGTTTCTCCAACAAATAATTTCATGAAAGAAAAAGAGAAGGAGGACTGTTATAAAATAAAAGGGAATTAAGAGTAGTGTTGAGTGTGTAAGTATTTAACAACTGACTTGCTGAAAAAAGAAAAAATTCTTAATTTCTAGCGTTTGCTGATTTCCATGGTGTAAATACTCCCACCACGGCTGATTTCAAGTTGCCAGTGTGATTTCACTAAATGCACAGTTGGGAAGAGACGCACAGTAGCACTCATTGTACAGTATATCTACTATACAGATACAATAGATGTAAATAACCTCAAGAGCACAGATACCAGTGAAATGTACTAAAATAATTAGGGAAGGATGAGTTTTCAGTATTTATTACCTTGTCTTTTAATATAATTTTATTTATAATTGGATAAATTGTTATATATAATAAGCTATATATATTATATAATCATATATATATTTTACAGATGGACATCATTTATGCCAGCACGATTTGTTAAAGAGACTGTCTTTTCCCCACTGAACGGACTTTGGCCCTTTGTCAAGTATCAGCTGCTCATAGATGGATGGATTTAAGTCTGGAATCTCAATTAGTTCTATTGGCCTATGTGTCTGTTGTTGTAAAGTACCAGGCTCTTTTGACTACCGTGGCTGTATAATAGGTTCTAAGATCAGGTAGTATGAGGTCTCCCACTTTGTTCTTCTTCTTCAATAATGCTTTATTATCTTGGGCCTCTTCCCTTTCCATATAAAGTCGGTGATGTGTTTCTCCATCTCGTTAAAGAATGCTGTTGGAATTTGGATCAGGATTGCATTGTATCTGTAAATCGTTTTGGGTAGTATTGACATTTTCACAATGTTGAGTCCTTCTATCCACAAGCATGGTATGTTTTTCCATTTATGTAGGTCTCCTTTGGTTTCATGCAGTAGTGTTCTATAGTTTTCTTTGTATAGGTCTTTTACATTCCTGGTTAGTTTTATTCATAAGTATTTTATCTTCTTGGTGGCTATTGTAAATGGTATTGATCTGACAATTTCCTTTCCAAAGTTCTCTTTGTTGGTGTAGGGGAATCCAACTGATTTTTGTAAGTGGATCTTATGTCCTGCTACTTTGCTGAATCCTTTTATTAGTTCCAGTAGGTTTCTTGTGGATTCTTTGGGGTTTTCTGTGTATAAGATCATATCATCCCCAAACAGGGATAGTTTTACCTCTTCCTTACCAATTGGGATGCTCTTATTTATTTTTCTTGCATTATTGCTCTAGCTAGGACGTCCAGCACCATGTGAATAACACTGGTGATAACAGGCATCCTTGTCTAGTTCCCATTCTCAAGGGGAATGCTTTCAGTCTCTCTGTTGAGAATGATGTTGGCTGTTGGTTTTATATAAATGCCCTTTCTTATGTTGAGGAATTTCCCTTCTATGCCTATTTTGCTTTGAGTTTTTATCAGGAACGGTGTTGGCCTTTGTCAAATGCCTTTTCTGCGTCAACTGAGATGATCATGTGATTCTTTTTGTTTTATTTATATGATGGATTAGGTGGATTGATTTTCTAATGTTAACCATCCCTGTACACCAGGTGGTGTAGTGGTTAAGAACTCGGCTGCTAACCAAAAGGTCAGCAATTTGAATCCACCAGCCAATCCTTGGAACCCTATGGGGCAGTTCTACTCTATCCTATAGAGTCACTATGAGTCGGAATCAACTCGACAGCAATGACTTTGGTTTTTTCTTTTTTGTTATCTTTATTGAGTTTCTTTCTAGATGTTCTGTCCTTTACCGAATGTCATGTATTGAAGTCTCCTACTATTATTGTCAACTATTTCTCTTTTCAGTGCTGTTACACTTTGTTTTATGTATTTTGGAGCCCTGTCAATTAGGTGCATAAATATTTATTATAGTTATGTCTTCCTTGTGTATTGACCCTTTAATTATTATATAGTGTCCTTTCTTATCCTTTATAGTGGATTGTGCTTAAAGTTTATTTTATCAGAGATTAATATTGCCACTCCTGCTCTTTTTTCATTATTTTTTGCTTAATATATTTTTTTCATCCTTTGAGTTTTAGTTTGTTTATGTCTTTGTGTCTAAGGTGTGTCTCTTGTTGACAGCATATACACGAATCGATTTTTTTTTTATCCATTCTGGCACACTCTGTCTCTTTACTGGTGCATTTAGGTCATTTACGTTCAGTGTAATTATTGATAGGTATGAATTTACTGCTGTCATTTTGTTGTGTTGTGTGTGTGTGTGTGTGTGGTTTTGACAGTTTCTTTGTTCCGCTTAATTTTCTGTGCTGAGTTCTTTTTGTTTATGGATTTTCTTTTCATTTCTTTCATTACTGTTGGTTTTGTGTTTGCTGAGTTTTTTTGTTTTTCTTCTCTTTTATTTTGATGGGTAGGTTTCTTAGCTTCCTTTGTGGTTACCTTGAAATTTATCTTTATTTTTCTAAGTTTAAACCAGTCTTTTATTTCTTGATATCGCCTTGACTTCCTCACCATATGGAAGTTATATGACTACACCATTTATTCCCTCTTTTTTGTCTTTACATTGTTGTCGTTTACTCATTCACATCTCTGGTTCCCTATATTCAGTCTTTTTGCTTTATTTTTGAGAATTCTCTATCTGCGTTGGTATCTGGTTGATCTGTCCAATGTCCTAATCTTGGATTGTTGTCTGATGTTGCTGTTTCTCTAAATGGAGGACTCCCTTTAATATTTCTTATAATTTTGGTTTGGTTTTTACATATTCCCTTAATTTCTGTTCATCTGGAAATGACCTAATTTTTCCATCATATTTGAGATACAATTTTGCTGAATATGTAATTCTCGGCTCTCATTTTTTTTCCTTCAAGACTTTCTATATGTCATCCCATTGCTTTCTTTCCTGCATGGTTTCTGCTGAGTAATCAGAGCTTAGTCTTGTTGGTTTTCTTTTGTAGGTGACTTTTTGTTTATCCCTAACCGCTCTCAGGATTCTTTTCTTTTTCTTTGATTTTAGCAAGTTTGATTATGATACGCCTTGGTGACTTTCTTTTGGGATCTATACTTTATGGGGTTCGCTGAGCTTCTTGGATAGATATCTTCTCATCCTTCATGATATTAAGGAAGTTTTCTGCCAGAAGTCGTCAACAATTCTCTCTGTGTTATTAAGGAAGTTTTCTGCCAGCAAATCTTCAACAATTCTCTCTGTGTTTTCCACTATGACCCCGTTCTGGAACTCCAATCACTCATAGGTTTTTCCTCTTGACAGTATCCACACATAATTCTTAGGCTTTCTTCATTTTTTTAAATTCTTTTTTTCTGATTTTTCCTCAAACAAATTTGGTGTCAAGGGATTTATCTTCAATCTTACTAATTTTGACTTATGTTGTCTCAATTCTGCTCCTATGACCTTCTATTAAGTTGTCTAATTCTGAAATTTTATTGTTAATCTTTTGGATTTCTAGTTGATGTTTTTGTATGGTTTCTAGTAGCCGATTTATTCTGTCATTTTATTCTTGTATTGTTTTCCTGAATTCTTCTATTGATTTGTCTGTGTGTTCCTTGGTTTTGTCTGTGTTTTCCTGATCTCCTTCTTGATCACTTGCAGAGCTCTGTATATTAGTCTTTTAAATCCTTTATCAGGTAGTTCCATTGCCTTATCTTCCTCTGGAAGGTTTTCTGGCTCTTTATTTTGGTTGCTTGCTGGAGCCATCCTATCCTACTTCTTTATGTAATTTGATATTGACTTGTATCTGAGGCATCAAGAAGTTATCATATTTATTTATTTATCATATGTTTGTTAGGAGCCCTGGTGGCGCAGTGGTTAAGAGCTTGGCTGCTAACTGTGTCCTGAATTTTTGTTTTGTTTTGATATATCCAAGTAGGCTGGGTGTGTATGCTACTCTGGTTGTTAATCTGGCCACACTGAAGTTCTCACTTCCTGTCTCCAGGTCCTGCTGGTCAGCTGGTGTTCTCCCTGGTCGTTGGGTTTGGTGTTGTCTGTGCACTCCGCCACACTTGCCAGATGGTTGGGGTGAAGGTGCCCAGGTCGTCAGTCACCAAGTGTGTGGTGTGGAGACTCTTACCTGCAGTCCTGGGTGGGCAGGGCTGCATGGTGTGTTCAGAGCAGGCCCAGGTCTCTGACTGCAGTGGAGGGCAATGTGGGGTGCAGGGCTGGGGGTTGTCAGCCACCCCTAGATGCCCAGCTGGAAGGTGTGCCCGTCTACTAGAGTGCATAGTCGGGGGGTGGGTAGTGTAGCCGCTCCTCGGGCGCCCAGTGCCATTGGCTGGAGGGATTGGAAGGCACCACTGGTTCCCGGGCCCCAACTTGGATGGCTGGATGGAGTGAATGGTACCGCTGGCTCTCAGGCTCCCGGTGTAGGTGGTTGAGGCCTCTTCTTAGGGAGTGGGGCAGTGTCAAATGCCACAGATCTACAGCTACCATTTGGCTGCTGCTGGTGAAAATGGGCTTCAGCTAGGAATCCTGCCCACTTTGTCATAATGAGGACGTGCTGTGTTGGGTCAAGCCAGCAAGGCACTGGTGTGGGTGATCGGCAGGGGTGAAGAGGGCTGCAAGTCCATGGACCCCCTGCGCCAGTGGCTGGGCTAAGGGGAAGGTGCCTCAGACCCGGCCGAGAGCTATAGGCTTAGGGGCGAGGTAGTGTTGAAGGTCACAGATCTGCAGCTCCCACTTGGCTGCTGCCAATGAAAATGAGCTTCAGCTTGGAACTCTCCCCACCTTATGCCAACATGTATGTGCTGTGCCGACTCGACCAGCAAGGCACTAGTGCGGGTGATTAGAGGGGGCAGAGGGTGCTGCAAGCACATGGAACCCCTGTGCCAGTGGCTGGGCGAAGGGGCAGGCGCTTCTAGATCAGGGCCATGAGTTCCCGGCTTAGGGGGCATGGTGGTGTTGAATGCCACAGGACTTGCGTTGGAGCAGTGAGGGAGATGGAAGATGGGGAGGGTGTGCCCCTCAGCCCATGGAGCTCTGGTTGGGGAGGGACTGTGGCACATGTGGTGGGTTGGGAGCACGCACTTAACTTTCATAGGTCTAGTGAGTCACTCCTGCTTAGCTGCACCAGATGGGGTGCTGCTGTTTGCCTCCATTTGTCTGTGCTATGCAGGTTCAGTTAGCAGGGCACTGGCAATCCAGCAATCCGTAATTCCCTTTTTCCACTGTTTTTGAATTGTCTCTCCTTTCACCTGTCGCTCAGTCTGATTTTTCATCTTTGTCTTTGATGCTTAGGGTTCCTAGATTGTCATATATAACCAATTTACTTGTTTTTTTGGTTCTTTGTTGTAAAAGGGACAACACGAAGTGTCAGACTATTCCACCATCTTGGCCCCACCTCCCTGTTCAACTACATTCTGAATATTCCTTCATAATCCGGCTTTCAGAACTAGAAGCAACCTTCAAAACCAACTAGTCCAATCTCTAGTATTTAGCTCTGAAAAATAAGAGTCATCTAATAAATATCTAAAACTTCTTTACAAGTGTATAAGGATGATATACCTGTATATTATCCCAAAGATATTAATACACAGCATTTTATATGACCTCAACAGAGTATAGGTTATATAATATAAATCTTGTCTCATTACAATTAAAGCTTGTTTCTTTACAATTATATTAAATTTAGCACTGTTATACAGAAGTAAACCAAAATCAGCTTTGACTAAATTGACTTTACCACCTTCAACAGCATGTACAGAAATTTATGTTAGTAAAAAAAAAATAAAGTTGTACCTACGCTAGTTACTTTACGGTATATTTGAGCTGCATTCTGGCACTCAGAATAAGGGTACTCCGAAGTGGCCATTTCCAGCATACACATTCCAAAAGCATAGACATCTACAGATTCATCATAGTGTTCTTCATACATCTCTGGGGCCATAAACTCAGGAGTTCCTACAAAATAACACCAAAACCACATTTTTATTAAAGAGAAAAATGGATCCACCAAGAGCACATTCCCTTTACCATAAGGTTTACCTGAGTTAATTTCTGCCACCTAAAAGCAAACTTATACATATAAAATTTGTTTAACACTTATTATATCTATATAAAGCACTTACAGTAATTCCATAACTTTCCTTACTGCTATACTACAATTTGTAATATTCAAGATTACTAAAATCTTCCTTTTTAGCTATTCAAATTTTTCCAAATTAAATTACTAAACCATCTTTCTTAAATCCTCAGAAACTTTCAACAATCTTAAATATATCCCAAAAAAGAAATACACTAGATATCTCTGAAATAACTCAATATAAAATAGATATTTCAAAGCAAATTCACATTCTAGGCCAAACCAAACCAGTTGTCGTCGACTCGATTCCAACTCATAGTGACACTATAGAACCGAATAGAATTGCCCCATAGGGTTTCCAAGGCTATAAATCTTTATGGAAGCAGACTGCCACATCTTTTTCCAGTGGAGCAGCTGGCGGGTTCAAACCAGCGACCTTTCGGTTAGCAGCAGAGTGCTTTAACCACTGTGCCACCAGGGCTCCTCATTCTAGGCAAGGGGCCAGCACATTTTCTCTGTAAAGGACCAGAAAGTAAATATTTTAGGTTGTGCAAGCCATATGGTCTCTGACACAACTACTCAACTCTGTCATTGTAGGGCAAAAGCAGCCATAGACAATATGTAAAATAATGAGTGTGGCTGTTTTCCAATAAAATTTTATTTACAAAAACAGGTGGCGGGCCAGATTGAGACCTGATCCCTCTTCTAGACCTATAGAATTGACAAATCAATCTTCACCCAAACAATAAACTATAAAATGTTAATCACCAATAACACTCTTAGCAAATGATGTACGCATTAAGGTGGCTAGTCCTAGATCACCAATCTTCACAGATCCAGTGGGTCCCGTGATGAAAATATTGTCACACTTCAGATCCCGGTGAATAATAGGAGGAGTCCTAGTGTGCAAGAACTGCAACCCCTTTAAAATTTGCCTGCACCAGCTCCTTAAGACCTTTGGTTTCATGACTTTAAATCGTTTTAAGTACCTACACAAAGAAACAAAAAACCACAGATAAATAAACTTATACCTAGCTTACTGTAAAAGCACTCTTAGGGTAAATCACAAAAGCTAGCTGATATTTTATATACTACAATTGCTATCACTGAGTTATTTCCTATTTCTCTTTATGGAAAAAATAATTTAATTTAAGACCTCATTCTTAGATAACACATCCTAGCAAGTTTAACATTTTAAATTCCAAACAAGAATTAAAGGTAGTCCCTGGCTTATGACGTATTCAAGTTATGATGAACCGCACTAACGACCGTCAGTGTATCTGGAACATTGCATCTTCCTGGGAGGAAGTTACAGGAAAATGCAGGCAGAGGACATGGCAAAAACTGCTGAGTTAAGTGAACACACTCCAAGCATTTGATCAGGAAAATACGATGGAAGAGATCGGTGGAAAAATCATTCGTATGCAAAAACACTGAATTTAGAACTTGATATCGCTGATGTGGAACAGCTTACAGATTATGAAGAAGGGGAACTGACAGATCATGACTTAATGAATTTTGAAGAGTAAAGAAATGCTGAGAATGAAAGAAATAATGGGGAAGAGGAAGGAGAAAAATTGTTAAAAAATTTTATAGTGAAAAGATTAGCTGGAGTTTTTTCTAAACTAAATCAGGGGATTCAGATGCTTAAAAACACGGACACAATTACTGATCACTTTGCTAAAGTCGATAGGCAGATTCAGTAAGAAATGAGATGTTACTGTGAAATACATCAGGAAAAAAAGAAAAGGACCATACACAGAATTCTCACTAATTTTCTGACTAGAAATGCCATCCTTATTCCCAAGGAAAATGCAGATGATCCAGAATCTTCCACAAGTGGAATTATTAGTGCAACTGACAAAATGCCAACATCTTCCAACTCTTCTTCAATGTTGGAGTAAATTTTAATGATTTGTGTATTTTTTAATGTATGTATGTATGTATTAAAATCCATCTGTAAGTTTATATGTAATGTTTCCAACCCCCAAAGACAAATAAAGATCAGATTTATAAAGATATTGATAATAAAAGGGAAGAATAATGCAAACTAAAAAGAAAAAAAATGAGGTATTCAACTTACATCAGAACTGACTTATGACAGAGTCACAGGAATGGAATCCCATTGTAAGTTGGGGACTACATATACTCTAATCAGAGTGGCCTTTTATGGAATGGCAGCACAGTTTTAAAAAGAAAAGTCTTCTCTATTAACTAACAACTGCTTATACACAGTCATCAGAGGATTTAGCTGTGTAAAATTTTACTGCAAACATGCTAGGAAATAGAAAATGCATGTCTCACATTTAATATTTACAAATAAGCGATGAAACCACTGAATGAAAAATTTTAGCTAAAAACAAAACAAAAAACTATAATTCCATAAATATGTGAACCTGGACAACTCCCCAACCTTTCCTTGCGTTTTACAAAATGACATTACATTATCTCTATATCATTTCCAATCCTAAAATTTCATGACATCCCACAAATATTAATCTTTCAACACTATTTTCTAACAAACATCATTAACATTCTACTTTTTTTTTTACCTACACAGTCACTAGATTCAGATTCTACAAATTCTTTAATGAAATAATATTATACAAACAACTCTCATGACTTCTGAAAATAATTTCAGAATAAAACTCCATTGGCACTATCAGTCTACTTACGTCTTTAAGGTTCCTGATGTCATTAGTTCAGTCACTAATACAATACATTTCTTTCCTTTTAATATAGACTCCCAGGAATCATAAAATCGAACTATATTGGGATGCTGTAGACCCTTTAACATCTCTGCTTCTTCTTTGAACCTTTGCTGCTCAGCTTTGGTTAACTTCCGGTCCTGAAATGGAGGAGTAAGTTCCAAATTAAAGTCATAGAAACACTCAGGCACATTCCTAAGACACAAATGAGTGAATTATTAATTAATTTATTATCACCTGTCAATTCTTTTTTCAAGACCTACAGAAGCACTGATCTCACACAGCAATATAGCAGTTGCTACATTTCATAACTATATTATAAAACCACTTGCATAATAAATCAATACCTTGAAAAACAGTATCTCAAAATGAATTGTCAAAAAAGTAATAATCAAAATAGATGAGAAAAGAAACTTTCCCTGAGAAAGCCCTGAGTTTCCACATCTAAAGGATCGATAAACTAAAGGCAGGAATAATCAAAGGTTAGACACCTAGACATTCACCCTCGTTAAATTTCTGAATTGTCAAAATAAACATGTTCCAGGTTTCGAGACAAAATTCAGGCTACCAATCAGTGAAAGAACTTCAAATACGCATTGGACCTGTGGTCTGGTACACTAAATTCTAGAAGTCAAAGGAGCGATCTTTATAGAATTCTGAGGAGGGACAGTGACCCTAAATTCTGAACCCAGACAAAATATGGATCCAGTTTCTAAGGGAAAAATACACACATATTTCTCACAGTAAGGGCACAGAAAGTATACCACCACACTTCCATTCTAAAAACATTACTCAAAGAACTACAATAAATATTTGGCAGAATAGGGAGGTGCGGACAAGATGGCAGAGTAGTCAGATGCTTCCTGTGGTCCCACTTACAACAAAGATCTAAAAAGACAAGTAAATCGATTATATATGACAATCTAGGAGCCCTGAACATCAAAGGCAAAGTTGAGGAATCAGACAGCAGCACGGGGAGGGAGAGACGGTTCAGAAGCAGTGAGAGATCGCCAGACCTGACCCGGTGGGAACCGGCACCCTGCAGGCCTGATTGGCTGGCGTGTGCCGTGAGGCAAGCTGTGGCACTTGGTACACGTTTTCCATGTCTGGGGAGACCAAACGGCAGACAGTCTACTCAAGCCTCCTCCTGAACCAGTGAAAAGAAGTAGTCAATGGGCAAAAGATAAGTACATGCGTCAAACCTACCACACAGATTAAAAAACACCCTCCTCGGGAAAAACCTCTACCATTTACCTGCCCCTTTCCACTCTGAACCAGGTCCTGGGCTGGCTTCAGTGAATGCTGGGTCCCCTGGGCCAGAAGGACCCGTCACCCGCACTGAACCATTCTCCCGGCCTTGGAGAGGGAACGAATTAACAAACAGGAAATAATAATCTGCCAGCTCCCCTAAGCCAGGAACCCAGGGTAGGCACAGCTCCTTGTCCGAGGAACAGGCATAAAGGGTCTATGGACTTCGAGTGCCTTTCACCCCTGCATAGACCTGTGTGGGTCCATTTCAACAGCGAAGGCCCTCACTAGCAGAGTACAACAGGGTATACACCTGAAGCCTAATGTCAATTGTATCAGCTATATGGTGGAGTGGCAGGTTCATGACATTTGACACCACTGTGCCCATTAAGCAGGTTCCTCACCTACCCACATCAGGGGCCTGAGGACTGATGACTCCACCTACACCACCAAGCCACCCACGACAAGGGTCCAAGAGTAAGCGGTGCTTCCCAGTTCTTACAGCCAACAAGATTGTGTACCCATAGTCCGGCTGCAAATTCCACCCACCTACACACTCTAGGGAACAGGCACACACTATCGTACCAGACACTCAGGGGCAGCCGTCAGCCCCTTGCCTTGCAAAGCGCGTGACCCTATACTGCAGCCAGATACCTGAGCTTACTCCACACACTTGGTGACCGACTACCTGGATACCTGAGCTGAATCCACACAAGAAAAGTAAATGGACTCCTCAGCTCACGTACCATGTAAAAGATCTAACCATATGGTGACAGGACGTTAGAGCTTCAAAGGTGCCAAAAATCAAACTAGCTCACAAGAGCAGGCAATTTGGGAATATAAAACAAGAAGCTAGGACACAGTAAGCAAACATAAAATAAATAACTGTAATAACTTATTGATGGCTCGGAGACAACACTCATTATCAAATCACATAAAGAGACAGACCATGATGGCTTCAGCAAGCTCCTAAAACAAAGAACAAAGAAATCTTCCAGAAGAAGAGAGTTTCTTGGAATTACCAGAGGTAGAATACAAAAGATTAATATACAGAACTCTTCAAGAGATAAGGAAGGAGATCAAGCAAAATGCAGACCAAGCCAAGGGGCATCACACAAAAAGCAATAGAGGAACATAAGACGATTATAAAATAGCATAATGACCAATTTAACAGGCTGCAAGAATCCATAGAGAGACAGCAAACAGAAATTAAGAAGATTAACAGTAAAATTTCAGAATTAGACAACTCAATAGAAAGTCACAGAAGTAGAATTGAGGCAATGGAGTCAGAATTAGTGAGACTGAAGATAAAGCCCTTGAAACCAACGTATTTGAGGAAAAATCAGATAAAATAATTTTAAAAAGTAAAGAAGCCCTAAGAATTATGTGGGACTCTATCAACAGGAATAACCTACGAGTGACTGGAGTACCAGAACAGGGAGGATAACAGAAAATACAGAGAGAATTGTTGAAGATTTGTTGGCAGAAAACTTCCCTGATATCAAGAAAGATGAGAAGATATCTACCCAAGATGCTCATCTAACCCCACATAAGGTAGATCCCAAAAGAAAGTCACCAAGACATATTATAATCAAACTTGCCAAAACCAAAGAGAAAGAGAGAATTTTAAGAGTGGCTAGGGATAGATGAAAACTTATATACAAAGGAGAGTGAATAAGACTCAGCTCGGACTACTCAGCAGAAACCATGCAGACAAGAAGGAAATGGGATGACGTATATAAAGCCTTGAAGGAAAAAAACTGCCAGCCAAGAATTACATATACAGCAAAACTGTCGCTCAAATACGATGGTGAAATTAGGTCGTTTCCACATAAACAGAAGTTTAGGTAATTTGCAAAAAACAAACCAAAATTATAAGAAATACTAAAGGGAGTCCTCCAGTTAGAAAATCAATAATATCAGATAACAACTCAAGACTAGAACACAGGACAGAGCAACCAGATATCAACCCAGACAGGGAAGTCACAAAAATAAACCAAAGCTAAAACACTAAAAATAGGGAAACAGAGATGTCAATATGTAAAAGATTACAACATTAAAACAAAAAAGAGGGGCTAAATAATGTAGTCATAAATCTTTAATATGGAGAAGAAGTCAACGCGATATAAAAAAATGAGTGGTTTCAACTTAGAAAAAGAGGGGTAAATATTATAGTAACCACACAGAAAACTAACAATCCTACATGTCAAAATAAAAAACAAGAAAAACATAAAGACTCAGCAAATACAAAATCAACAACAATGAAAAAGATGAAAAGAAAGTACATAAAGAAAAATGACTCAGCACAGAAAATTAAGAGCAACAAAGAAACTCTCAACACAAAAAAAAAAGACATCAAAATGACAGCACTAAACTCATATCTATCAATAATTACACTGAATGTACATGGACTAAATGCACCAATAAAGAGACAGAGAGTGGTAGAATGGATTAAAAAAACACAATCCATCTATATGCTGCCTACAAGAGACACACCTTAGACTTAAAGACATGAACAAACTAAAACTCAAAGGATGGAAGAACATATATCAAGCAAACAACACTCAAAAAAGAGCAGGAGTGGCAATATTAATCTCTGACAAAATAGACTTTAAAGCAAAATCCACCACAAAGGATAAGGAAGGACACTATATAATGATTAAATGGTCAATACATGAGGAGGACATAACTATAATAAATATTTACGCACAAAACAACAGGGCTCCAAAATACATAAAACAAACTCTAACAGCATTGAAAAGAGAGATAGACAGCTCGACAATAATAGCAGGAGACTTCAACACACCACTTTTGGTGAAGAACAGAACATCCAGAAAGAAGCTCAATAAAGACATGGAAAAACTAAATGCCATAATCAACCAATGTGATCTCACAGACATATACAGAACATTCCACCCAACAGCAGCCAAGTATACTTTCTTTTCCAATGCACATGGAATATTCTCTAGAATAGACCACGTGTTTGGCCATAAAGCAAGCCTTAACAGAATCCAAAGCATCGAAATATTACAAAGCATCTTTTCTGACTATAAAGCCATAAAAGTAGAAATCAGTAAAAGAAAAAGCAAGGAAAACAAATCAAACACATGGAAACTAAACAACACCTTGCTCTAAAACTACTGGGTTATAGAAGAAATTAAGAACACAATAAAGAAATTCAGAGACTCAACTGAGAATGAAAACACATCCTAAAAGAACCTTTGGGACACAGCAAAAGCAGTGCTTAGAGGTGAATTTATACCAATCAATGCACAAATCCAAAAAGAAGAAAGCACCAAATTCAAAACATTCACCCTACAACTCGAATAAAGAGAAAGAGAGCAGCAAAAGAGCCCTCGGACACGAGAAGAAAGCAAATAATAAACATTAGAGCAGAATTAAATGATATAGAGAATACAAAAACAATTGAAAGAGTTAACCAGACCAAAAGCTGGTTCTTTGAAAAGATCAACAAAATCGATAAACCACTGACCAAACTGACATAAGAAAAACTCGAGAGGAAGCAAATAACTCATATAAGAAATTAGATGGGCGATATCACAACAGATCCAACTGCAATTTAAAGAATCATAACAGAATACCATGGAAAATTGTACTCTAACAAATTTGAAAACCTAGAGGAAATGGACAAATTTCTAGAAACACACTACCTACCTAAACTAACATAAACAGAGGTAGAACAACAAAATAAACCTATAACAAAAGAAGAGACTAAAAACGTAATTGAAAAACTCCCAACAAAAAAAAAAAAAACCCTGGTCTGGATGGTTTCACTGGAGAATTCTACCAAACTTTCAGAGAAGAGTTAACACCATTACTACTAAAGGTATTTCAGAGTATAGAAAAGGATGGAATACTCCCAAACTCATTC